AACTAGCGTATCAAATAACTGACGTCACGCGGCCTCAAACCCACAGGGTTGTCTGCCTCTGGGCTCACCACGTTCATGCTGACGCCTTAAGAGCCGATGCAAGGTGAATTCCAGCGTGCAGTGAGAGAACTTCTCGATGGAAAAGAAGAGGCAGTGCTGGTTGAATTGAAACCAGTAAACTGGACAGCAGAGGAGTAGTTTCCAATGCACAAGTATGAAAGTCTTGTGTCTTTCCTTGCACAGTTATAGTGCCAGTACGTAGGTTACCTCAGTCATGGAAAAAAATGCAACTTACAAAAGTGATGTGACGGCGGATAGCATGCTGGATTCCATTGTACAGTAACACGAAATGGAATTGACAATAAATTGCTCCATTTGAGAGCCTATTCATTGACAAAAGCACTGACATAGCTGTCCACAAAAAGCTGGCTATTTATGGTCGTGTTCTTAATGCGAGACATATGACCCACTTTGACTAAATTCGAGATTGAACACTGTGTAGGAGGGCATTCAGCGTAGTCAAAAGATTTTATAGCTCTTCTAACACTTAACGATTGTAAAAGGATCTCGCTTGTTCACAATTATCAGGTGTTTTCGCGCTTGACTTATTCTTCTACGTCGAAAGCAAACACTCGCACCAACGGACTGCATACGAAGCCGGTTTTTGAAAAGTGTGTGTAAATAAAAAAACTACAAATCAGGTGAATCTTACCTTTTTCCGATGGAAGCTCAACCTGCTGATCAACAATTTCCTCTCCCTTTCCTTCTTTTTCCGAGTCTATTCCGTTTGCAGACGTCATAGGGGTACTCTGAACTTCCAACCACTGATCATGATCTATATCAGCTACACTAAGGAACTGCCTCCCCCGGGACACCCCAGTAAGCTTTGAAACAGCAGGGGCAACATCACCAGGCTCCCTTCCCTTATCGATTCCTCGTTTAGAGAAAGGTTTGTCAAAGACAGTTTCGTCATCATCAACTGGGTGGAGATCTCGAGACCTATCTATCACGTCAACACCCACTTGGTTTTCTTGATAAGGTTTGGGCATTTGAAGGTTCAAAAAGATGTCTGGCGGCAAGATGGGTACGTGAGATGTCACGTGATCCGAATCAACACCCCCTTTATCCGTTTGAATACCAGACGTTACCAAGTCTCTCCTTGGTAATGGCTGCGCGGAAGCTTGCTCTGTTTGCGAGCTGGAACTAACTTTCGAAATATTAGTTGCACCACGATCGAGCATGCCCGGATGAAGAAAACCCACGGGATCATCCTGGGGAGATCTTCTAACTTCGTCAACTTGAACTCCAATGGTTCTCTGCGGTTGTCGACGTTCGTAGGCCTTCGTTCCTTGTCGTTCATCACCAGTCCCCTGCCGTGCAGTTTCAAAAAGAGACTTCCAACTAGGACTTCCACTACGATAAGCAGACATTTGCTGATCAACTTCGTGAAGCTTCCGTCCAATTCTTTCTTTCATATGCCGCATAGACGGGGGGCCTGGTATCTCCTCCCCAAATCCTTCGGGCTTGGATTTCTTCTCTCCTCTTTCTTTATCCTTTTTTACGCCCCTGTTTCCTTGGTCCCCGTGCTCCCGGAAAGAAAAAGGTTCTGGACTTTTCTCAACCCGGAAATACTTTTCTTCTTCGGAAACATCCCAAGCCTGATCAGAAATCTCTGATAATTCCAACTCGCTCTCACTCAAGCTAACCTGTTGTTTAGAATCCTTCATTGAAATGGGTTTCTGTACTGATTGCTCTCTAGCTGATTTTGGTTTCTTAGAAGCTGGTTCTTTCGCCGGTTTTTGCCTCTTAGGAGGTTCTTTATCGACTCTTCTTGCCCTTTTCACGGGTTGCACTGTTATAACCTTTCCCTGAATGGATTTGTTGCGAGAAAGTTTTCCTCCTGGCCTGCTTTTAAAAACGGGAGATGAAGAACGTGGTCTAGTCTGCTTTTCCAAAGCCTGCCTTCTTCTTTGTCTAAAAAGGAAAACGAAAGACGAACTCTAATTCTCCTGTTGCAACTAAACCGGTAAAAAATATGTTACCCTCTCTTTTCAAAAGTTGATTGCAACACAAGTGAAGGAGAACCTAGCTAACGTTACGTGAACAATTTTGAAAACGATCACAGCCCTTTTAATGCTCATTATGTGAAGAGAAAAAAACAGTCAAACATTCGATCCAAGGAATAAAGGAAATCATCAAGAACCAAAAAAAGTAATTATGTTGATTAAACACCAAACTCTGAGGGATAATCAACATAGGTATGTAAGGTCACCAGTGAAAAAAATCAACTCTTAAGATATTGCGATTAAAAGGGAAGCCTAACCTTGAAACTGTATTTCTCCTGTTTTCTTGTTCAACAATCTTCTGAGGTTGCCTCAGTCTATTTTCCTCATTGGGTTGGATGTTCTCCTTTTCTTGCCAGTGACGCGTGCGTTTGCTGAATGGTGCAAGTTTTTCCCTCAGATCCTTCTCAAATGCTAATATTTTCTCTAAAGGAATAAGCTTCGGTGTTTCTGCTTTCCTTGGAGCTTCTAAAAGCGGCCATGCTTCACGAAGTGTAGGCGGATTTTCCAAAAGTTTCAATTTTCTTAAGTCAACTCCATTTGAGGATGCTTGATATTTAGGCATAAGTAGTAAGGCCCAGTTGTTGGGTGCAGTGCCATGTCCTTTTGGTTCAGCGGTACTCTTCCAAAGTTCTTTCTTGGGTTGAAATTCCAAGAGTTTGATTTTGCTCAAATCTGGGATACCAGATTCAGTTGTTGACGGTTTTGATTCGGGTAACTGCAACAAAGAGTGGTCCGTACCTCGCTTTGGAATTTCAAGAAGCCTCATCTTGCTCAGGTCAAGTTTGCAAGATGCATCAGAAAATGGAAAACGAAGCAAAGGTAAAGAAGCTCTACTTTGATCTTGATACTGTGATGTTGGTGGTTGCGGATTGCCTGTAGGGTAGTAAAGTTGATTCTGCAGTATAGAGGCTTGCTGCTGTTGTAACAAAGGGAATAAAGGCAAAGGATTTTCCGGTTTTGGTTCCACTCCTGATTCAGTTTGAACCGAGGCGGATTTTGCCACAATCTGCACATCAACACGATTGTCAATACTTTGATCAGATTCGCGATGCACGTGACCTTGCCCAGCTGAAATCCCAGAATGCACTGGCATTTGAGAGCCCGATGACGTCATTCCCTTATGATCCGTTTGCGACGCCGTTTCCACACGGGTTGTTTGTCCATTGTTGCCAGAGGGGGTTGGTATGTTTAATTCTGAGCTTTGAACGTTCCCCAGCATTGTTGGTATACGAAGAACAGGCATACCAGCCTGCACAGTGTCACCAGCATCACTACCAACGCCAGGCCTACAAAAAATTTGAAGTAGAATCAATATTGCTCAGATACTGGTTTAGGTTCGCATCTGACTGGTTGAGAAGGTGGCCAAAATTTTATTAGTCGACCACGTTACGCTATCGAGTAACCAGTCATCTCACCTCACAACAAGAACCAGTTCCATTTGACTTTGAGACACTGGCACCGTCATTGCCGAGGACTGACTCTTCTCAATTGAATCTACTGTGATTCTTGGCTGCACTTCCTTAGTGACCACGCCATCCAATTCCTGAGTGACCACGCCATCAAATTCCTTTGTGACCACGCCATCGATAGCTTGCGGTTCTTTCTGCTCTCGTGAAGATTTCTTTTTTCTTTTTCCTTGACGTGACGGAGCTGTTCTAATCATGGGATGGGTGGGGATTGATTTTTCTTCAGCTGCTAAAGATGGTCGGTGTATTTGTGCTATGTCTGTTCGAAGAATCAAGGTAGGAACATACATTAATCATAAACCGAATCGAAAAATGAACCTTTAAAAATTCAGAGAAACTACACAAGACACGAACCGAAGAGTGCACAACCAAGCTGAGACTGTTAACAGAATTACTTCTGACTGGTTACGGTCACTCAGAGAGCATAACTGTTTAGTCATGACAAAATTCCTTGTTATAACACACATGCAAAAGTCCGTGAGTTAAAAGAGAAACTCGCTAAGATCGTTAAGGAAATAGAAGTTTGGTAATACAGAAAAAGATTTAAAACGCGATAATAATCCAAGAAGGAACAAGAATGTCGAAGGAAGAAGAAGACTGACACGGATTACAGGAGATCACCTTTAAGACTTTTTTCTAAATAAAAAAAAAATGCACTTTGAACGCTAAATAGAATGCTGTACCATCGCGCTCTGGTATTTTCCAATCAACCAAATCTTCCTCTCGTCTTTTGTTTCCAGGCTGATCGCTTTCATTCGTCATTTTTTCCAGTTTGTGTTCCTTTCTTTTACTTTTCCGTGAACGTTTAGACTTAGCAGGAGTAGAAGTTACGACTTGTTTGACAGAAGAAGTTAACTCTGTAAGGGAAAGGAAACTATAGCTAGAAAGCAATTTGAATTAGTAACGTCTCTACTTGAGTAAAGTGGCGCCTTAAGCCGGAGCTTATCCCTATCTCCGTAACATGAAGCGACTAAGAGTATCACTACTGCCCCTCCCTCCCTCCCCCACTCCCCAATACTCTCCCTGGATAGGATGCCAGTCCATCGTAAAATTATCTCTCAGGCACATCGTCAGCTTTCACCGACAGTTTGCCTCTACCCATTTATAATCTTGGGTGGAGGGAGTGACATTTTTAAGAGCAAGGTGTTTTACCCACAATGACACGGCCACATCTCGAGCCCAGGCCTTTTGACCCGGAGTCTAGCGCGTTAACCGTTGAGCCACCGCTGCTTCACTAAATGATACCACGTGGTAGTTAAAATGGGATCATTTACTACTCATACCTGGATCAGAGTGATAAGTCGTCGGGCTACCAGGGAAGTCACTTTTCCCATTGACTCGCAGCGAGTGTCGCTTTTTATACGCGCCACTCAAATCCTTTTCTTCGTCCGTCGTGGGACTATGTATAATAATATTCGGGATGTTTGGTTCACTGTTCGATTTGGGAATACGATCAAGGTTTCTAATGCGTTGAAAATCCTTTCGAGGTGGCCTTGAGAGTTCTGTCCCTTCTTTCTGAGCTTGTGCTGGGAATTCCCTACTTGCCACTGTTTTTTCTCTTCGCGTAGAAGTCTTCAAATCACTTTGAGATCGTTTTAGCATATCCGGCGTTGACTGATAACCGTAATCGCCTTGTAACCCTCTTCCTTCACCAGCAATACTATTTCGTTTCGCCGAATTGTTTTCAGATCTTTGGAGATTGGAGTCACTTAGAACTTTCCGTAAGGGTCTTGGTGGCGTGGCTGCGTCTGTTGAAACAGGCGAGCGCTCTCTAACGTCACGTATTGGTTGTTTCTGCGGAGAAATCTTTGGTCTTTTGACCTTGATATCAACCATGACCTTTGTATCCAACATCCATGGCCAATAAACATTTTGCAAACACCATAAACTATTCACCAGAAGTGGAAGCGAGACATTAACCCGCATCACTGGAAGCGACTCGGTGCCACCAGGAGCGCTGTGATTGAAGTTACTCGAAGGTAAAGATGAACCTTCCATGGTCCAGCGACTGAGCCAGGTCAGACTAGGAAGAAGCTCAAGTAGCTGACTCCCGAGGGTCCGAATCCCAGGGAGGAAGCCCAAGCTAGCTACATCATTTAAGCTACTGCTGCGTTTTATCTCCGTTTCAGACCCCAAAGTTGAGGTTGTGGTCACTGGTTTGGGTCTGGAGGAACGCACATCTGTAAAGCTTTGGCTTCTGAAAAGACTAGAGGGGCCCTTGATGGGTCTGGCTGGGGTATCATTGTGTGTCTTCTGTTGCAGCATCGAAAGTGACTTAGTGTCTGAAACTAAAAGCTGTTTGTTGTAGGAGGACAACAGTGGCACGGGATATGTTGCCTTACTATGATAAGTCATCACAGTTTTGGACACAGTTATCATGAAAAAAGTATCCAGAAACTGAAAATAAGATGGCTGCGTCTCAAACAAGGCCGTTCCAACTGCCAAACCTCCACCATCATGCATTATGACTCCTACTTCATCATCGGCTGATTTGTTCCCGGAAGCCTCCTTAATGTCGAAAAACTGATCGCAAACCTTGCCGAAGAGTTTTTCTCTTTCATCCATTTCTTCTTCCCAATCCATGCACTTCTTACGATAAAAAACTGACAGGGGTTCGTCTTGGCGGTCTGTGTCGTTGTCTTCTCCCACAGTGACTCCTCTAAACTGGGCCATGAGACGCTTCAGTTTTGCTCTTCCACTCGCTGTCTGGACCACGTCTGGGTTGTTGAAGAACTGAGCTGTAAGTTCTGCTGTTGCTGTACTAGGAGGCAGCTCCGACAACAAGGTCAGCAAAGTGTCGATGATCTTGTCTGTGGCTCCAAGTAAAGAGCTGAAGGGAGCTAATCTCGTGGTCCACAGCAGGGTCTCCCAACAAATTGAATGGATTGTTGCGGCCTCCTTAAGAAAGACATTTATAGTAAAAAGTAGTATAAATTTCAAACAAAAAATCAAACAAGGTCAAATATGTCGAGTACTTGAAAGATAGATAAAAACTACACTCTGTTAACAAACGAACTCTCCGACGGAAACTTTGCACATGAAAATAGGAAACGTTCTGCTATTTGCCCACACATCTCTCTGCTGAAAAATGTCAAGTGTGCGCAGGAGAGGGAGTGAAAAAAAAAAACTCCTCTCTTCCCCCCGTGTTACCCTCGCGTTTCACACCCGTTTTTCCTAATCGCCTCGTGCAGCTGGTACAAGGTTTGCGTTAAGCTGGAGTTCATTTGTTGCAGTTTCCTCTAGATAACGAACTCAAAAGTCTCTACTTCAACTGATTAGCCGGCATGAACATGCTCACCTCCTCACTACCTGTAGACTGGCTCCTTAGCTCTCTGAATTTCCTGGATGATTTGCTCATCTTATCCCGTGCGTGTAATAGCCACATAATCGCACAGAAATCACGAAAACTGCACAGCGCACCTCCAATCGAAGATGGCGGTTTATGGTAAGTTCTCCTTTGTTTTTCACTGGAGGCTGCCTCAGGCTTTCTTTTCCCTAAAAGAGAACATATTGTGGTTGTTGTTGTTTTTTTAAGAAAATCCTCCAAAGCCCAGCCAAACTGTCAGTAACTTAAGAAAAACCTCATTCGCCGGAGACTCTCTCAGTGAAAAGCCATTTTATTCACAGATAAATTTATCCATGGGATAAAAATTTATCCGTTTTTAAACCATCGGGGACTGAAGAGTAGATTCCCTTTACTTGGATGGGGAATACTGCCTCATATAACCCTGATAGCCTTTTGCGAATCTCTTCAATACATCATCAACTTTTCTTCTTTAGGCACGACGTAACAAAGCTATTGAATGTAACACACAAAAAATATCACCACAGTCACCTTTTTTCTTCGGAGACACATGACTGGATTTGTCTGCTTCAACGTCACGGAAACTAAATCCACGATCAGCATATCCAGCCAATGAAGAAGGTACTGGAAAGTCTGCATCAGTTCTTATCACATTGTACCAGTTCTCTGACGTGCTGACAAGCTGTTCTGTGTACCACCTCACGCATGGAACCAAACAGTTAGAAGCTTTGAGCAGAAGAAAGATCTTCTGTACAATGTTGGCCACTTCAGAGCGGAGCCTCTCTTCTTTTTCTGCTAGAGGTGACAAAGTTTCCTGACAGAAATATAGTAGCAGTTAAAACAACGAAACTTTATTAACTGCAAGAAAACCATGGTGGGCCTGCCTAGAAGGCAGTGTTCTCCCTTATTTTAAGCATGACAGGTAAAATAAATTTTCAAACCGGTAAAGCAATCCTTTTACACGCTGAATTTTCAAGAATTCCAAGCAATATTAAACGGTAATAAGAGGTACTACAGGTGGTAAATGTTACCGGTTACTGCCCAACAAAATTGGGCGGAAATGATTCAAAATCACACATTTTTCATCTATTACCTTCTTGGCATTCATCGGTTGTGGACAGAAAGACGGTGGAAAGGGCAGATAGAATTCCTCGGGTACAATCCACTCAAACATTGACGTCATATTCTTCAACTGTCTCACCAAACCAGTGAAAATTAACGGCACTAAGTCGAGATTCGCCACCAGCCCCGCCTCAAAAACCCGAGAAACTTCTTTCACAAGTTTGTCATCCGCCTCTGTTCCGACATCCACCACAACGTGCTTAATTGACCTTTGACCCTTCGAAGAATGAAGAGCTGGCTTTTCTTCGGCCAAGCTATCGGCTCGCTCTTCAGCGGCTGAAATAGTTTGCTTGAACGAAGGACTCAGTCTTGAAAATGCAATGGCGTGAGTAGTGATCTCTTTCGGTGGTTGAGGGAACATACGTTGACTTTGTTGATGTGTCTCGCTTTCGGATAATCTAGAAGTCACGACTTGGCTTGCGAAAGACAACAACAACGCGTTTTTCCAGTCACCCAAATTCTTAGCTAACCAGGCTGCTTCCAATATAAGCCCTGATACAAGCAACAGTTCTACGGTGCTGTTGGCACTCCAAAGCTCATAAACACCCTGGTCTCGCACAGCTTGTGCTACTTTGGCCCTATCAAGCCCAATACGTTCCGTTACTTGAGAACGGTCTTCAGAATCTTCATTCGTGTTTTTATCGAAAGAAAGTTCATGGAATGGTGGAAGCTCAGTCGGTTGGTAGGGAGGATAAACATAGAGAGAAAGATTTGAAAAATAAGCCGACATGAACCTTGCAAGCGTTTGCACCACTTTGATACCTCTGTTATCCGCGACTCGTGCAACAGGATAGTTTTGAAGTAGAACCTCCATGAGTTGATTTGAATTTGAATGATGGCTACTCCTTTGAAACGAGCTTGGCGCGCTGGGAAGCAGAGAAAAGTGTGCACTGTTTTGAAATTCATCGCACGAAAGCGACGGTTCGAGTAATGAGTAGGCAAGATCAAGAGCAGACCTAAGATCGTACTGCTGAAGCTGAATATAGA